TTCATTCATAAGTCTCGGACTGCTGAAAGCTTGAACTGCCAGAAAAAATGTGTGCTTTCAGTATGACGCTCAGGCATTTCGCATGAATGGCTTCGAAGATATGGAGACTGTCCTTTCCATGTCCCAGGACTGGAGTGGACCTTGTAGCCCCTTTTTGAACGGAAAGTGCCAGACTGGAAATGTTGGCTTGACCTGAATGGAATAGGAAGATATGCGTGGAATGGGTATCCTGCACTTACCTCAGCTTCGATGCAAAATGAGTCTTTCTCGCTTGGCTGGGGAATCTGTTTTGCATTCCATCGAACATGCGCACATGGTGGACGTGGCCGATCTGGCCGATGAGGCCTGGGCATGTCTTGAAGCTGGACACGAAGTTGGACCAGCTCCGTGAATGAACTTCAGATTTCAGTCTTTGGTGGTGCTTACGCCACATTTCAGCAACTGTTGGGGCTTCTTTCGCGCCTGCCAAGGCTCTGCGAGCAGAGAGGTTTGACCAGACGAGGGGGCCCCAGAGGCATTCTTAAACCAGATGGGCGCAGTTCGTCATTGCCCCAAAGGATTCATTCAGTGAGAATCCATTGGTCAACTTCCATACAGCCACGGAGGGAAATCGTATCGATTCTTGAGAATCTTCAGAATTACATTGGGATTGTAGACGTGGCGGGGGCGCATTGTATGACTCATGGCTTTGACCCACCCATATGATCAACATGTCATGTGTCACGATGTCCTTTGCGACCGGTCTCGTTTTGGTGCTGTTTTTAGGAAAACACCGGTCGCTGCAGCTTACAGCTGCCCAGCCTTGGTTGCTCAGCCCTCAGCCGCTGTTTGAAACAGAAGTTGTTCTCTACTCGTCTCGTCTCTTAAAGAGGCATGTTCAGATTTTGGAAGCTCATGATTGTGATTCGCCACTCGTGAAATTCGATGTCCTAGTAGCCACTGCGTGTTTTTTTCGTCACACGCCGTCCACAAACAGGACCGAGGATCGTTGCACGCCGAGGCCTTTGCAACATCGCGTGGCCGCATCGCCCACGGGTGCAATCTCACCGGGGGCAGCTGCCTGCCTGGCAGGACCGACCTATGGGTTCGGGAGACGGGGTCACGGCGGGAGACGTGCGTGTAGAGGAAAGTGGTCCAAGAGGCCAGGTCACCCGCTGCCGGACCAGATAGTTCTTTCATGTTCTTTCTTTCTTTTTTTCTTGTGGCCTTGAAGTCTTCTACGTAGCCGGTCTGCTAGTGAATTCACATTGAATTCATGAACTCCGTCACCTGCTTCCGAGTCCCTACCTGTTCGTTCGAAGATGGTTCCAAAAGACAGAGGGTAAACCACACAAAAATACGCGTAATTATTAGATGAAAGGGCCGTTGCTTCAGATGTTTCGTGTTGTAAAAAGAGACAGGAAAACGAGAATCGACGGCAGACAGAGAAGAGAGTTTATGGTTTCGCAGCCGGACACGGACATCTGTTGGAGGCATGGCGCGAACACTGTCAGGCCTGATGCAGTGTTTATTTGTTGTCGATCTATCCCTGGATCATCCAACTATGCAAATTGTTTGCCCTTTGGATTCTTTTGGCTGGTCACATGAAGGTAGATAAAAGTTTAAAGGTCCTGAAAGGTGCTTTTGTCCAGCAAATGCTGGTGAATACATTGTCCATATCTTTACAGATGTCGTGCTGCTAGGCCCGGGGACTGCTTCAACTCAGCCCTCTCAACCTCCAATGCTCGAGGGTGGTGTCTTCCGAAAACAGCCACCCGGCCATCCATGCGCTGTGGGAGCCATAGGTGCCCGACAGTTTATTTGCACATCTTGCCAGAGTGCAACCTTTGTCGTGTGCCTCCTAAGGGGCAGCCTCCATATGAACATATGTGAACAGCTTCCAAACCCTCCATGCACAGAGTTGTACTATTTCTCTCATGATCAGTATTTGTAAACTCACGCTTTCAACGAAGGCCAAGAATGCATCTCCGGAACGGTTCGCACTTTCGCACTTTTTGCAAGAGCTAGTTTTGCGAAAGCTCTTGCCAAAGTCGAATTTTCAGGACATGTGACATGTTGCTTGTTATCGTCACATAACTCGCATTGTGGACACGATGTGAATTAGATGTTCACCCTATGGCCTGGTTGGGCCTATTGGAGACGGACCAAGGCTGGCGTTGAGCCCAGTTGCTTCACGATGCTTAGCTGCGAAGTTCCAGAGCGGCCTGCGTCGCTGTCCCAAGCGAACCTGGATCTGAGGCACTCCAAGCCCAGTCGACAAGGACATCCACGAGATCAGTGGCTTCGCGGAATTTGCATATAAAGAGAGCCTTCCCAGCCTTGCATGAGTAAAGGTGGCATGTTCATCATGTCTTTTAAGACAAATCCTTCTTGTTAGCAGGTGCAGGTTGGACAGATGGACGAGAATGGGGCTGCTTGGTGATTTAACAACAAGCTTCATGGTTAAACTCGAGTAGCTGGCACTTTTCATACTATCTTGACATGTGAATTTGAAACACGTGTTTCAACATGTGATGTGATGGAAAGTCTCACCTCTTCCGCCCACCGGAACTCAGCTGTGCCCACCGTCGATGAAGAGTCGGAGCATGATTCGCCCCAGTGCCTTGGCCGCTGAATGGCAACCTCCAAAAGTATGGTGACCTCATGGCGACCTTTCATGGCAAGTCTTCCCCCAGTGCCTTGGCCGCTGCGTCTTCCTTTCAAGAACAACCTCAGGCACGGCGACGGTGGCGAATCTGGTACTCATGAACAGGAGGGTTCGTCCTCCGAGCCTCCGGCAACAAGTGCCAGTCCATCGACGTCAACCACTTGCACATTCACTCCACAGTGCCCCGACAGAAATGCCATGCTGCATAACTGCTGCAATGCTTTGAAAAGGATTGCGACTGACCTTGGAGAGATTGGTATTCGTTGTTGGAACATCCATTTCCACTGGCACCTAGCAGGGTGCTACTACGTAGTTTATGGTCAAATCCATGTCATGATGCCATGTCACGAGATCCACTTCCGACATGCCGTTTGACTTATCGAAGCTTGTTGGCTTCCTGTCATTTGTGATACTGACAGGTGGTTTTTAGTTTGATCTGACCAGTTGACCCAAAATGTCTAAGCGATGCAGACATGGCACTCAACCTGGTGCTCGCTTCCGAGTCCGATGCGTGCAAACCTTTCCTTCAGCAGCGGCATCAGTGCTGGAATATTTGCGCCCTGTCTTTAAAGGATCTTGTAATATTTGTTTGTTTTTGGAAGCAAGAGAAGACTTGCATAAGAAGGCTTTCACATTGTTTGACCCCTTATTGTCGGGGACTCGACCACATTCATTGACTGGACCATGGTGTACCTGGGTAGCGAATCGACCACGGATTTTTTGAGATTGAATGCACTTGCCTCGGTGGTGATTGTCCGCTCTAAGCATGTCGGTGGTGCCGTGGTGCGGGGCTTCCTGTGATGCCCTGTGAACCCAACATTGGTTCCGAGTATGATTGAATATGTTTCAAATGGTCCAGATTGCGGCGAAGAGATGAGTTTGGAAATTGCAGACTAAGTCAACGTCGACTGGTTTTGTGAAATCATCCTACGAGTGGCAAAGTGATTGAAGATCATCGTCGTAAATTATCAAGACAGAACCTTTCAATGAATAAGCGAAGGCACTACGGCAAAAAGGACAGGCTCAGGGGAATAAACTGACAGGCAAAAGAAGATTTACTTGATTTACTTCAAAAGTCAACAAATCAGCCTACAGCAGTTGGAAGTGCCTCGCTGAAACGATGGGGGGGAGTTGAGTTGAGCAAAACCTTCAGCACGGATGGAGAGCAAGTTCAACCCTCAGACATCACACAGTTTGTTGGTTGAGGGAAGCTCATTCCTCTCTTGGGGGAGGGAAGCTCTGAGTCGCAGCACGCTGGTGCTGAATTCGTTTAAGTCCGGCAATTGTAGCCAGTTGCTATGGCAACAGACAAGATGCAGAATCTGTAGATGCAGAATCTGTGCTGTCGAATCACACCTGATCTCACGTCCTGCTGCATGTCGAGTCCTGCCTACTCCCGGAACTCTAGATTTGGACTCGTTTGTCATGTTTTGTTCTCATCTCACTTCATACCTTCTCCTCATCTCCTTTTGCTTTATCTCAAGTTTCCACTGAACTTCTCTTACCCTTTCCCTCTTGTGACATCACTTGTTCTCTCCTTTTCCGCACCCTTCCATTGCAGCCTTTTCTTACTTTCAATTCATAATTCGTAGTTGTTGAACATGCTGAAAGCATTTCCAAAAGTCGTAAGTTTGGAGAAATCATACATTCCTTTCGGATGCTGCCTTTAGTGCGTTCCGTTTCGACAGGTTGCCTCCACCGATATGGGTTCTCCTTTTTCGATTGTTGCATTCGCGTGTATCAGACTGGCACACGCTTTGGGCATCAAGTATAGACATTGTTTTGGGCATCAAGTATAGACATTGCGCAAGTAGAAAGCTGACTTGCTGACTTGTTCATTTTGCTTTTTCATTGGGGGACAGGTCAATAAGGCTGAAAGCAACTTGAGGACTTGGTTTCGAGAAGAGTCCTGGGTCAGGGTCCTGTTTTTGGTGTGACCAACGTTGGGTTACCTTTGCTCTTCCTGCTATCACTAACATCTGTTGACCGTCATTGTCACCTTCAGTCGCCCAACAGAACCGGGTGCGTCGGCCCTTCGAGTCGATTCATTGATGATGCGTCGATGTCGGTATCCTCAGAGGTCATTTGACCCCAAAAGCGAGGTTAGATCCCCTCACTTCGTTGGGGTCAAGAAGAAACTGGCCACTGGAGAAACATGAAACAACATGGCCACTGCTCAAATGATTTGTTTGTTTTATCATTTCATTTTGTGTTCCTGCCTGGAACCAAGTGGCCACTGGTTTACTTGGCTTCCATGTTATAGACATCATGCGACGCGTTCATCACTCGCCACTCCCCGTTTATTGTTATTCATTTGTTTCTATTCGTTTCGCCCGAAGACTCCTTGGAGGCCATGCCTCCACGTCGTGATGCGTTCGGCAGTGGCTGCACGAACTTCTCGGTGCCTTGGAAGGCATACTGTTGAGCATTTCTCAAGTTCGAAAAGGCTGTTCGGATGTTCAAGATCTAAGTCATGAGTCATAAGGCATTGACATCGTTGTAATAATTTGTGCCTATGGATCCCCTAATGAACCAGTTGGGGGATCGGCAGAAGTGCGTGAAGTGGTCGAAATACACGGGGGCAACGCTGGAATTGAAGGTCTTGTGCCAATCAAGACTCGCTTTCAAAGCTTTTCTCCGGGTATCAGGTGAAGAGCCGCTTACAGCAAAGACTGCCATGGGTATCCATGCAAGAGAGACCTTCTTAAAGTCCGCAAGTCCCTCAAGTCAGTTGATGGTTGTGAAGGGGTGCATTCTGATTATATAGGCGGTGTCCAAGGTTTCCCATGCGCTTCTGCATCATGTTGCGGTTTCTCCGATCTCCGCTGTTCACCACTGCAACAGTTGGTTGCTGAATCTGGTCACTTGAGAAGTGCACCCGGGCCTTGCTGGAGACCAACTCGCATGTCAGGTTCGACTTCCCCAGGTGACCCGAGCAAAAAGGGATCCAACAGCTTTCTACCTGAGCCCTGCAGTGGATCCAACGTACGGAGACGGACTTGCGGACGACGGAGGATGTATGATGTGGGGATGGATGATGTATTGCGATCCAAGCACTCCATGTTTTGGCATATTTTGACCCTTTTGCTGTATCAATGGGTTTGCGGTGTAAAGATGCAGGATTTAATGTTCGATCCTAATTACTAAGCGGGCCCCCCCTAGCAAACAATCCAGGGGGTCTGAAGAGTATCACCGCCACAAACAGAAGTCGTAGTCGTAGTAGTCGTAGTAGTCGAAGTAGTCATAGTAGTCCTAGTCGTAGTAGTAGTAGTAGTCGTGGTAGCAGCAGCAGCAGCAGCAGCAGTAGTAGGAGTAGTAGTAGTAGTACTCGTAGTAGTAGTAGTAGTAGTAGTAGTAGTAGTAGTAGTAGTAGTAGCAGCAAGTAGCAAGTAGCAAGTAGCAAGTAGCAAGTAGCAGGTAGCTAGCTAGCTAGCTAGCTAGCTAGCTAGGTAGGTAGGTAGGTAGGTAGGTAGTAGTCGTAGTCGTAGTCGTAGCGGTAGCGGTAGTGGTAGGGGTAGCGGTAGTCGTAGTCGTCGTGTAGTAGTAGTAGTAGTAGTAGTAGTAGTAGTAGTAGTAGTAGTAGTAGTAGT